TCAATATCTTAAGTTTTGGGGGCTACATTCAATGCCCTGCATTGCCAGCTGGAGGCATGAAGAGTTGGTAGCTCGATATCTTTATATGAACAAGTGACAGGACAGATTTGGCCTGTAGTTCATAATTTGCTCATTCTCAATCCATATCACTAATAATCATGACTGTGATATGAACCTCTAGCATAATCACCTACAAATTCAAACCATTAATTTAATAATCAACATCACAACATGTGGGTAGGGTAAATGCCCCTCCCTCTTCTTCCATTCCCTCATTCTCCCTTTATTCTTCAAGAATTGGGTCTAGAATTGTTCCCCATGACAATCAATCACAGTCATTCTTCCCATTTCTAACTCTTTGATATTTACTGTGTTAACATTCTGGTACTTACTGCTTCATAGCATTCAGTGTTCTATCTCCACTCAAACTTTTTCAAAAAGTAAAATACATTTAAAAATTAATTTAGAACTCCATTTTCATAATTTGTGATGCTAAATTTCTCTGTGAACGTAAAAGCTAGGGTATAACATAAAATCTATATGACCAAAACTTGTCCAAATACATGTGTGCACATATGTGTCTATGTGTGCAGTCGTGAGTGAGTGTGTGTGTGTGTGTGTGTGTGTATGTGTGAACAAGCCTCCTCATGATGATACTTTTACTTGAAAGATATCTCACAGAGCTGACTGACTTTAAGCATCATGTAGGTGAAGGTTTCAGCGTCCCTTGTTCTTGGGCAAATTGAAGTGTTTGGGAGTTCAGAACAAAAGTGAGGAAATGAGTATGGCCAGCTCTACACCGTGGCTGTGTGCTCCCTTCTGAGAGTAAAATTGTAGCTGGAAGTGGCTGCCCATCTAGGACAGTGTCTTTGAAGCAGGTGGGGTATATAGTAAGTTCCTATGTAAACACTCTGAGCCACCACTCTCCCTTAAAAGTAGCCACTACCCCCTGCCAGCTAATGCTGAGGTATATTAAATGTCACCTACCCAACAGTCTGCCAGCCTGAGTCCCTGAAAAACTGTGTGGAACCTGTTGTTGTAAGGAAGAAGAGCAACGAATGAACTTTTTGTCATATTAAAACACTGATGTGGAAGGGTAGCTTTACTTCTTGTTTGTACTGTTTTATGACAGAGTAACTCTAACGTAACACTGTTGAACTGTCTATTGCCACTTGGTGACACTGTGGATAACTATTTTATCCCCCCTCCTGGGATTTATGATTTGCTTATATATTGATTGTTTTATGTATTTTAAAATTATTTTATGTATGTGGTGTTTTGTCTCCATGTATGTCTGTGTGTCCTTTGCATGTCTGGCACACACAGAGGCCAGGAAAGGCCATCAGCTCCTTAGAATTGGAGTTTAAGGTGGTTGTAAGTTACTATATGGGTCCTTCTCCTCCTCCTCAGCAGCAGGCATATGCATACCTTCTCCTGTGTACATGGGACACTCAAATAGCTTTATTTGAGCTAATGTTCAACTTGTTCTAGAGATTTACTATCCTCATACGTTTTACTTTTTAAAGTTGATGCTACAATGTTATATATCGAGAGAATGGGTGACTGACCAGATAGTAAACTGCCTCTGTCATCTCTAAGTTTTGGAAGCTGTTTTCCTGCACTTCCTACTTAAAATAATTTTATTCCTTTTCAAGTCTCTGATGAGGTTAAAGACTAGATAGCTATAGTTTCACAATTAGGCTTAAGTTATTTAGGATTTAAGAAAAAGTTTTAAGGTCTAGAAAGACATTTTCTAAGTTGATGAATACAAGATATGATAGAGAATCATTAAAGTACAAAATTTTAGATTCACCTAGATAAGATAGGTAGTATTTTCTTCAAGGTTCCCAAATACAAATGAGCTAAACATTCTCAATGTAACTTTTAAATATGGATCCCCCCTGCCAAACACCATCTACAGATTCAATACAATTCCCATACAATTCCAACAGAATTCTTTACAGACCTGGAAAGATCAAACATTAACATCATATGGAAAAATAAAAGACCCAGGAAAGCCAAAACAATTCCGTACAGTAAAAGAACTTCTGGCGGTATCAACAGCCCTGATTTCAAGAGATGCTACAGATCAATAGTAATAATAACTGCATGGTATTAGCACTGAAACAGGTTGATCAATGAAACCAAATTGAAGACCCAGAAATAAATAAACCCACACTCCTACAGGCACTTCATTTTCAACAAAGAAGCCAAAACCATACAATGGAAAAAAAAAAAAAAGATTGCATCTTCAACAAATGGTGCTAGTCTAACTGGATGTCTGCACATAGAAAATGCAAATAGACCTGTATTCATCACCGTGCACAAAACACAAATCCAAGTAGATCAGAGACCTTGACATAAAACCAGAGAGTCTAATTCTATTAGAAGACAAAGTGGGGGAAAAGTCTTGAACTCATTGGAATAGGAGAAAACTTCCTGAACGGAATACTAACAGCACAGGCTCTGAGATCAACAATTTATAAATGGGATCTTATGAAATTGAGAAGCTTCTGTAAGTCAAAGGACACTGTTAATAGAACAAAACAGCAGCAGACAGATTAGGAAAAGATCTTCACCAAATTTACATCAGACAGAGGGCTAATATCTAAAATATACAAAGAACTTATATACTGGATTAGGATCCACATTTTCAATAAACCAATTTTAATTATAACAAAACAAATTTTATATATAAAAAGATTCCATTTTACACAACTCAGAACAGCTAAGATAAAAAACTCAAGTAACAACATGTACAGGTGAGGATGTGGGGAAAGGGGAACTCTCCTCCATTGCTGGTGTGAGTGCAAATTTGTACAACCTCTCTGGAAATCAATTGGTGGTTTCCCAGAAAATTGGGAATAGTTCTACCTGAAGACCCAACTATACCACTCCTGGGCATACACCCAAAAGATGTTCCTCCATACAACAAAGACATTTGCTCAATTATGTTCATAGTGGCTTTATTTGTAATAGCCAGAAACTGAAAATAACCTAGATGTCCCTCAACTGAAGAATGGGTACAGAAATTGTGGTACATCTACACAATGAAATACTACTCAGCTATTAAAAACAAGGAAATCATGAAATTTGCAGGCAAATGGTGGGAACTAGAAAAGATCATCCTGAGTGAGGTATCCAGGCCCAGAAAGACACACATAGTTTGTATTCCCATATAAGTGGATATTAGACATATAGTAGAGGATAACCATACTATAATCCACAGACCCAAAGAAGCTACATAACAAGGACGGTCCAAAGGAGGGCGCCTGAATGTCACTCAGAAGGGGAAACAGAACAGACAGCAGAAGTGTTTGAAGAGAGGGAACTGGGCAGGAGATGGAATGTGGAAGGAAATGAGGGTGAGGTTCAGATGTGAGGATCACAGGTGTGGGAGGTGAGAGAGCTGGGAAAAAGAAGGGAAACTGAGGGGGATCATCTTTGTCAAGCTGGAAGCCTGTGACAGGGTAGGGTCCTGGGAGAATATGGTTGTGACTATAGCTGGGACTCCTAACAGGGGTTGGGGAGCATGGAGACTGAAGTGAGGACATCCTAGCCAGGCAGGATGGAAGGAGAGGAACAACAGCATACCTACAAAAATCTGTGATTCAGAAATCACCCTGCCTACATGAAAGGCAGGAATAAAGAGGGAACAAAGATTGAGGGAATGTCCAACCCCATGGCAGAAAGCCAGCTCCTGACACTATTAATGATACTCTGCTGTGCTTGCAGACAGGAACCTAATTTGGCTGTTGTCTGGGAGGATCCAGCCAGCAATGGATTGAGACAGATGCTGGGCCTTGCAGCCAAGCATGTGTTGGAGCGGTGGGGTCCTGTGGAAGTGTTGGAGAAAAGATGGAAAAACCTGGAGGGGACAGAAACCTCACAAAAAGACCATCAGAGACAACCTAGTCCCAACGGGGCTTACAGAGACTGAGACATCAACTAAGGAGCATGCATGGTCTGGACCTAGGCACCCTACACATATGTGCCCAGTGGGTATCTTGGTCTTCATATGGAGAACCTGCCGAGTGGAGGGAGGAGCTGTTTCTAACATGGACTCTATTGCTTGCTTTTGGATCACTGCCCCCTGGCAGGGATGTCTTGCCTACCCTCAGGGGATAAGGATATGCTCAGTATTGATATGGCTTGATGTTCTGGGGAGGGTTGATAGGGGGAGGGGTGCTCTCCTTTTCTGAGAGAAAGGAGAAAGGAAGGGAAGGGGAAAATTGCGAGGGAGAGAGGGAAGAAAGGAAAGGGGGCACTGGGAGGAAAGGAAGGAGGTGGTACCCTTGAGATGTAAAGTAAATAAACTGAAATTTAAAATAAAAATATGGCTTTTCTGATTGTTTCCTGTTTTTATTGTACGTAGTTTATTATAAATAAATAAAATCCATATGCATTTGGAAAAAATGTTGTTCTCAATAGTAACCCTCCATTCCAAGTGTTAGAGGGAGTTGGTAGGTTAAAAATCCTGATCTTGTACAACAGCCTTCTTGCTTCAGGCTCCATCCATGACTAAATTTACTGTCCAATTAGGCTGTCCTCTGTTTTCCCAGATCAGAGATATGTGGTTGATACGTTCCCACCACCATGAATGCTGTTGGCTGACTCCATGTCTTGGGGCTTCAAATCCTAGGACTTCCAGGAGGAGTTGGGTCAAAAAGAGGGTGGCTTGGATCAGTGAAGAGGGGATGCTTACCTAATACTTCCTGTCATGTATGAGCACAGCAGAACTAGCAAGAGCCTAAGAATACGGCAAACACCCAGCTGAGAGGTTTCTAGATCCACAAGTATGATGAGGAAATAGAAGGGCCTTTAACCCCATAGCACCTTCATGTCACCAGGACATTCTTTTCACTTATGGAATTGGGTGTTTGCCATAAAGAACTAAAAATTCTTAGACAATTACGGAGATTTAAAACCCAAAGTACAAATCAGTGCTTTTGGTTTACACTGATAATACAAATACAGGTGCATGTGCTTTCTAGCTTTACCTTATGTAGCTCATAATACTGGGAAGCACCAATGCCACCTTGTTCTTCAGCTGTCCAGAGCACCAGGCGCAGAGTCCTCTTTGGACGCAGCCCTGGGAAAATAACAAAAGATATCCTTCAGTTTGCTTTGAATATTTTCCAAATGATGGAGACCTCATCTGCACTGTGGATGAGAGGGTATCAGAGGCACCTGCCTCTTGCTGGTATGGCCACCTGCTTCAGGGTATGGAAAATAACACAAGGGTACAACCTCAGAGATAATCTCCAGGACTGGGTAAAAGCAAAAGGAGTTATGACCAATGTTATTTGCAAAGCCTCATATATGGTTAAGTTTAGTGAAGTATTTATTATACCATATGTAGAAGGCAAAGTTAGGAGGAGCCTAAAATCTTAAAGGCTCCAGAGATGTTAATTGAAACCAAATCACTTAGCAGTGTTTCAGGATACGGTAAGCAGAAGTCACCTCTTAGACTGCATTTAACAGTGCAGTTTCCCATGCTCTCCCTGGAAATGTAATAATTAAGAAGCTGATGCAATGTCTGTGGTTACTCATGGCCATGTACTGGAAACTCTAAAGTCATTCCCTCAAGGTCAATACAGTTAATTGAATGAAGCTGTCATTTCTTCACATTATTTCACTAACAGCATGACAGCCACTCATGGACTTGTAATAAACAATGTGCATAAATAGTCCCTAACTGGACTTATTATTTCTTATGTTGTGATTGTTTGAACAAAATACATAGCTATTTAGTAGAAAACCAACTTTGGATCCTTTTCTTGCACTAGAGATAAGCAGTATGATCCTCTTTCACACTACTGGACAGCAGTAACAAGCTGCTGATCCACAGTTCCTAGTGGATCACATGATCACAAGCATCAGTGCTCTCCATGTTGAAGGGCTCTTCCAGGACACTTGACAGGTGTGGTGTTTAAATGGGCTTGGGGCAGTGGTTCTCAGCCTACCTAGTGCTGTGACTCTTTAATACGGTTTCTCATGTTGTAGTGACCCCAACCATCAAATTATTTTTGTTGCTACTTCATAACTGTAATTTTGTTACTGTTATGAATAATAATGTAAAATCTGTGTTTTCCACAGTAAAAGGATCATTTGATCCCAAAGGGGTCATGACCCACAGGTTGAGAACCTTTGTTTTTGTTGTTGTTGCTTTTCCAATTTACAGTGGTTTCTGGATGTAGTCATCACAGTAAGCTGAGGCACCTCTGCCTCTATTCTGAAGTTTTTAATTAACGGTAGACTTGTCACTCCTACAGTCTTTTAATGGGTATCCAAGACTGTCCAGTAATTATTAGCTGCTGGAAGCTATTTTCTCAATTTTTAAAGTATGGTAAAACAACGCCTTAAATGAATTTCTCCTGATTTTGACCTGATAATTGCTGGGAAATAGCAAAAGCAGAGAACATAAAGCTGGCCTTCAGTCTTACTATGAGGGTCCACGCTCGTGCAGGGGAATTGTTGGGTGTGATTGCATCCCACTTTCAGTGGCTTCGAAGGTGGCCATGTTACCAGTCTCAGGTATATCCACATACCTTCTGCTTCCCACACATCTGGGCATTAAGTGCCCCTGAGACATGAAGCTCCATCCTGCACACTGCAGGCACTGGCAGATTACCCTTGCAGAAGCCTAGTGGTCAGAGCCCTAAAACAAAGAGCTCCAGTGTCTTCAAAGTGAGCATAGCTGTGAAGTCATTCCCACCCTCAAAAGAGCAGAACCTCTTTTAGTCCCAGAGAAAATCCCAGCACCCATCAGGAATACCAGTACCTATACCACGGAGTGGAGGGCCCACAGAAGAAAAGAAATCCAGGGGTTTAGTAGAGGCCTAAGTAACTCAGAAGTCTTCTTTCACCCTCACAATCTGATTGTCACTAAACTGAAACAAAAGAATGGGATTTCATCCAGTGACTTGGACCTTTATCTAATGTGGCATTTTGGTTTCTAGGCCCCCCAGTTCCACAAGGAACAGTGTGTTGACCCCTGAGTCTGAAGGAACTGTGTTTCATTCCTGCTCTGCTATGTCAGGCTATGTGTCTTAGCCAATTATGTAACATCTCTGAACCTTGATGTTTTTTATCACACAGTAAGAAAAATGATAACCATCTCATGGGATTGTTAGAAAAATTAATGGGATACCTAACACATGTATCAGTCATAGCTAAGGTAGCATAGCACATGTATCAGTCACAGTTAATGTTACATAACATAGGCTGTATGTGTGTGTGCATGTGTGTGTGTGCATATACACACAATACATAAAATGTTGGTATATAAAATCTTTTATTTATATAAATATAACAGTCATATTCTCTGGAACATAGGCTTTCAAGGATTGGTTCTTAGCTCTTCTCTGCCAATTGTAGATGGCCTTGCACATGCTGACAAAAGTCTCTAGAAAGGGAAAGCCAGGGCAGAGCCTCTTATGTCTCTTCCTCCGCAGCCTTAGACACATCTGATGTTTAGAAACATCAGTCAAGGAAAAATCAGATTTCATTTAACCTGTATAAACACAGCATTCTTAAGTGTGAGATGCATGTACACCTCAGAACGAACATGTTCAGCTACGAACTAACAGAAGCAACGTCTCCGCTCTTCAGGTCTTCAGGTAAGTGAAGTCAGAACACATTTTCTGGATGAGATCAAAGCTAAACATATATGAGCACCAAATGAGATCAGTATATTGTTTTGACTTTAACTTACTCTTAAATTTTAATTTAGAGTTTGTTTAGTTTTGAAAATGTATTTCCGTTTACTTACCCTACATGCCAAGGGTGCCCTCTCCCTCTTCTCCCAGCTCCCCCTGATGTTCCCCTCATTCTCCATTCCACCCTCCCTTTCCCCCCAGAAAGGGGTGCCCCCTCTCCCTTATCAACCCTCCCCAACATCAAGTCACATAAGGACTGAACATATCATCATCGTATGCTTGCAGACAGGAGCCTAACTTGACTATTGTCTGGGAGGCTCCAGCCAGCTCTGGATTGACACAGATGCTGGGACTCGCAGCCAAGCATGGGGCAGAGCCCTGGGGTTCCTGTGGAACTGTTGCAGGAAAGATAGAAGGACCTGGAGGGGACAGAAACCTCACAAGAAGACCAACAGAGACAATTAACCCAGTCCTGTGGGGGCTTACAGAGACTGAGACATCAACTAAGGAGCATGCATGCATGGTCTGGATCTAGGCCCCCTGCACATATGTGACTGATGGGGAGCTTGTTCTTCATGTGTGTCTCTTGGTGACTGGAAGGGAGTGGGGTGGCTGTTTCTAATATGAACTCTATTGCCTGCTCTTGGATCAATTTAGAGTTTATTTAAATAAAATATATACAGTCATTTTTTTAATTTTTTATTAATTACACTTTATTCATTTTGTATCCCCCCATAAGCCCCTCCCTCCTCCCCTCCCGATCCCACCCTCCCTCCCCTTTCTGCATGCATGCCACTCCCCAAGTCCACTGATAGGGGAGGTTCTCCTCTCCTTTCTGATCTTAGTCTATCAGTTCTCATCAAAAGTGGCTGCATTGTCCTCTACTGTGGCCTGGTAAGGCTGCTCCCCCCTCAGGGGGAGGTGATCAAAGAGCAGGCCAATCAGATTATGTCAGAGGCATTCCCTCTTCCCATTACTATGTAACCCACTTGGACATTGAACTGCCATGGGCTACATCTGTGCAGGAGTTCTAGGTTATCTCCATGAATAGTCCTTGGTTGGAGTATGAGTCTCTGGGAAGTTCCCTGGGTTCAAATTATCTTGTTCTGTTGCTCTGCTTGTGGAGTTCCCATTCCCTCCAGCTCTTACTATTTCCCACTTCTTACATAAAAATCCTCACATCTGAACCTGCCCCCTCCTGGGGGCAGGGTAAAAGAGCCAGTCTTTGAGTTCATGTCAGAAATAGTTCCTATTCTCCTTATTAGGGAAACCCACTTGGATACTGAGGTACCACGGGCTACATCTGAGCAGGGGTTCTAGGACATGGACCTTGGTTGGAGAAACAGTTTCATAGAGGACCCACGTGCCCTGATATATTTTGTCCTTTGGAGCTCCTATCCTTGCTCAATCTATTTGTAGCAGCTTTACTTGTAATAGCCAGAACCTGGAAATAACCCAGTTGTCCATCAATGGAGGAATGGATACAGAAACTGTAGTACTTTTACACAATGGAATACTACTCAGCAATTAAAAACAAGGAAATCATGAAATTTGCAGGCAAATGGTGGGATCTAGAAAAGATCTTCCCGAGTGAGGTATCCCAGGAGCAGAAAGACACACATGGTATATACTCACTTATATAGTCCTATAAGATAGGATAAATATACTAAAATATGTGCACCTAAAGAAGATAAAGAAGAAAAAGGAACCGGGGTAAGATGATCAATCCTCACTTAAAAAGACAAATGGGATGGACATTGGATGTAGGAGAAAACAAGAAACAGGACAGGGGCCTACTGCAGAGGGCCTCTGAAAGACTCTACCTAGCAGCTTATCAGAGCAGATGCTGAGACTCATAACCAAGCCTTTGGTAGAGTTCAGGGAACCATATGACCCTCTGGTTCTTAAAGTCTTTTTGCCTCCTCTTCTGTGATGTTTCCTGAGCCATGGGTGTGTGAGTTGTTCTGTAGGTTGAGGCTGGGACTGAGTACTACAATTCTGCATTTTGATTTCTTATAGCTTTCTGTAATGGTCTTTGTGCAAAAAAAAAAAAAAAAAAAAAAAATTAAAGTCCAGTGTGAAAATCTACAGCCAAATGGAGGAATAGCTTAGACAATGGGAGGAAGAGCAAGTGTGTCAAAGTAGAGTCTAAGGCCTTTTAGGGGAAAGCTGGTGTCCTTCATCTCTTTTTTTCTTGGACTGAAGAGTGAGATGAGAGATGTTAGACTAAGGTCACACTGGCTGAGAAAACCATGGCAGGGAAGGTCTTATAAACTGCAGAAGTAAAGTGATCCTGATGGAGGATATTCTTAACTGTTCACATGGCTCTACACATTGGGTCCTGAGGCTCACGGGAACGACTCCTCTTCACCATGCCTGCAAATAGCTCTACAAATACGTACACGTCCAGCCAACAAAGCACAGCAGTGAT